GGAGAAATTAAAAAAAAAAAAAAAAAAAAGTGTTGATGTCATCCAATATAGCCGATGCTAGGGTTCTAGTGCTGCAGGGATTGATCAATATCTCTACACTTCTTCATCTATATCTAACATATCGTCATCATCGTAATATTCTTTGCATATCTATTTATTTATAGATCTACCCACCTCCCTCGGCGGAGGCTGTGTGAAGGAGAAGTTGACCCTTGACTGAATTGCCAGCCGCACATCGTCCACATCTATGGCAGACTTGCTGGCATGCTCGGAGTACACGCGCGCGTCTGTCAGAACATCCGTTATGTAGCGATGCATGAATTCCAGGAACTGATTGAGGACACGTGGCTCGTACTCCTCCACGCCCATCGCCTTCAGTACGTTCTTCACAACCCGGGCATCTCGTGGGAGATATTCACTCTTGTCCGCAGCAGGGTCGCCCATTGTCTTCGGTCTCGTGGGTGTGCGCCTCCGGGAATATTACGAAGCTGCCCTGTGTTTGTTTGCTTGTGTTTGTTCTGAGTATTCCATACCAAATTGCAAAAGCAAATGAATATCACGAATGAGTATAATACACTATTCAGCACATGAATATCACGAATGAGTAAGTATAATAAAAGTACTATTCAGATCATGAGTGCAGACAAGAAAGAAAAAAAAAAAAAAAAAAAAAAAAAAGCTCGTCAGCTCTGGCCAAAAACGCATGTTCCCTCGTTGGAGGCTTGAGCACGGATGTGGCTGCTACGGGGTTCCCCGTAATACTATAATGACAATAAAAAAAAGGCCTGAAAGGCTGTCCTGTCCAGATTTGACAGGTAATTGAATTGGTTGGGCTTAAAGAATTAGCCTTTAAAAAAAAAATAAAAAAAAATGTACATCTTTATTAAGATTTTAAACGCAAATAAATGCTCAAAAAGAGTCAAGATTCAAGAATAGAGGAAAACTGTACTTCCACAACATCTTCAGTCTTGAAGTGGAGGGGCTTTTGTCACTGTCCTTTTTCCTCCCTGCCAGCGTGCGAGAGTCGTTTCTCTGCTACCCCTCCGCCAACCCCCCCCCGCACCCCAAACCCGCATCTGTTTTGTACTTCAGCAGACGCTTCACATCGCCAGAGTGGAGCCAAAGGCGCAACGAAGGCAAAAACACACACAAACGGCAATGTGGGTTGTGGGGGGGGGGGAGCGGCGGAGGGGCAGCAGAGAAACGACTCTCGCACGCTGGCATGGAGGAAAAAGGACAGTGACAAAAGCCCCTCCACTCAGTCATGCACAGACGAGGGGAGGTGAGACGAGAAGAATAGTGAATTAGTGACAACAGGGGCCAACTGTCTTTCCTACACGCAGCTTCTCAAAATGATCGATCCCGGGCACACGCCTTAGCAACGCGCACATTACCCGACGCGCGTTTCAATCGGCTTTTCCGCGCTACTATGCCTTGCGGCCCACCAGCGTGCCAAACCTTCCGTCTGAGTGTAAGAAGAAGAAGAACTCAAAATATCTAACCTTACCTCCCTCTCTCTCTCTCTCTCTCTCTCTCTCTCTCTCTCTCTCGCTCGCTCTCGCTCTCTCTCTCTCTCTCTCTCTCTCTCTCTCTCTCTCTCTCTCTCACACGATGCCTGACGACGAGGACAACGACACTGCCATGCATCGTCCATCGCATGCTTGATGCATGACATCATCTTCATTGTCGATCCATCCATCATGCATCCATCATGCATCATCCATCATCTGGGCACCATACATCATCCATAATCGTCAACGGTTCTTGGACGATGACGACGACGTCACGCCGCACATCATAATCCATCATCCACACGCCAAGACGATCATTATCCTCGTAAGTTTCGAGTGCTGATATCATCAGCATCATTAATCGCCAATATCGGTATCGGTACGTGTTTTCACAATTGACTTCACGATCACAACCATCATCATCACCATCGCAATCATCGTCATCATCATCATCATCACCACCACAACCATCATCATCATCATCCTAACCACAACCCTCGAGACAAATCACCGACTTCAGCATGAAGGTGTTTTAGTATCATCGTTGTCATCATCATCATCCTCATCATCATCATCATCATCATCATCATCATCATCATCACCACCACCATTGTCATCATTACCACCACCCCAATCATCTGCATCATCATCATCACACCATCACGACCGCTACCATCAAAGGGAAATAATCGCCGTCGTTATCATTATCATCATCATCATCATCATCATCACTGTCGTCGTTGTCATCGTGTGGTCGTCATCACAATCTGCTCCTCTGGACCGCTACCTCCTCAGGTTTCTTTGTTTAATTTTTCTGCTGGGGACCACTCCTCGGTTTGTGTGTACCCTCCCTCCCGCCTCCCTAGTAGCCCAGGGGTAATTAACGACGAAAGCTTCTTTTCTGTATCGATTCAATTTTTACCTCTTTCAGCCGAAGAACTTGCTGAAGGTGAATTTGTCGTTTCTTCGCTGAGGCGATTTCGGCGTATTGCGGTGAAACGAAATCGTCAGGGTAATACAGTAATAGCGAAAGAGGGGTCGCCACGCCACTCACCGAATACGCAAAAAATGCGAATGCATTTCCAGCTAGAACGCGGGAAAATGCATTTCCAGCTAGAACGTGGGAAAATGATGCAACCACTACATCGGTCTTTTTCACATTTGGTGCGGCGAGACCCAACGAAAGAGAAAGGTTACTTACGTACTTTCGGTAGTGGTCATGATGGGCAAAACGATTTTACTTAGTATTACCGCATATATCATTCGCAGCAAGATTTCACTGAATGTTTTCAGCCTTCAAAATATTATACCGCCATCCGGAATGCGCAACCCGACCCCAATCTCCCAGTCAGATCCCACTACCCTGGATTATTCATTTTTCACCCTCGATTACGAAGATCAACGGTCAGAAATGAACAATGGGGGCTAGTGGGATCTGGCCCTCCGTGTGAAACTTAAAAGAGCGTACAGGCGTTGTAGGGCGGCGCCACGGCGGGGAGGAGGGGGGCGGGGAAGACACTTCGACTTCATCATCGGTCATCAATACTAGATTACCTGTTATAGCAGCTCTGCCCCAAAAAAAGAAAAGAAAATTTTGCAAATGAAAGAAAAGAGCTCATCAGGAGGTTAGCCAGGAGCAGGACAGCCTGTCCAGGATGCATTTGACTGATAGGCAAGGACTCACCACGTCACCCGCAGATAGGGATAGGGATACCCCTCAGAAAAGTGCTTGACTTTACTCGCGCCAACCCAGTGAGTGAGTGTGTGGTTAAGTCTCAGTTCAGGGGGCCGAGACGGTGCGATTGAGAGTTGCTCGGGGGTAGTTGTAGAAAGTCGCCGTCAATTACAAGGGTGCCATTGTTGTTAAGCAGGTCCCGTAACGGTCGCTGCGAAACATTCGAGCAGCCGTAATGCTGGGCGTGCATCATGGAGCATTTCCTGGAACACATAAGGCAAAGACCAAACCCCCAGAATCAACTCGTCGACAGCGTGGCAAACTCTCTCTCTCTCTCTCTCTCTCTCTCTCTCTCTCTCTCTCTCTCTCTCTCTCTCTCTCTCATTATTTCTTTTCCCCTCCTCCCCCATCCTTCCCCCCACCCAATCGATCCGTCGATCGACGTGGTAGTTCGTGTCGCAAAACTTGCCACCTCGATCCATCGGACGATCAAGAGCGAGAGAGAGAGAGAGAAGATCTCGTTTTCCGTTTTCCCATGCCACGACGATCGATCGAGCGGATGACACGTCTGAACCAAGTAGAGTAGCGTAGANCGAGCGGATGACACGTCTGAACCAAGTAGAGTAGCGTAGAGAGAGAGAGAGAGAGAGAGAAGATCTCGTTTTCCGTTTTCCCATGCCACGACGATCGATCGAGCGGATGACACGTCTGAACCAAGTAGAGTAGCGTAGANTGTGTGTGTGTGTGTGTGTGTGTGTGTGTGTGTGTGTGCCGGACTTACCACGTGATCGATCGGACGATCGAAAGAGACAGGATAGAAACCAAACACGTCGAAACTCGACGGAAAAGAAACAAAAAATGAAGAGGGATTACTAACCTTCAATCATGGTGGCGCGACTCTCTGGAAGCCTCCATCCAATGCACAACCCGCGCCTCGGCTTCCAACCTTCACGAGGCAGAGCCCCTTCAGCGTCCAACCTTCAGGATACACAGCTCAACCTCGACCACGTAAAAGAGTTTCGGGCCGACATATCTTCTTGAGCTTCACCACCAAATGTATTGCATGTGTTCTGGTGCCTGCGTGTGCGCGTGCGAGTGTGCTTGCGTGCGAGTGTGCTTTCTGGGTGCGTGTTTGTGTGTGTGTGTGTGTGTGTGTGTATGTGTGTATGTGTGTGTCCATCACAGCACAGACTAGAGCACCGTCCACCGTAGCTTACATGTGTGTCTGTGTCGGTGTCTATCCACCGTACAGTAGAGAAGACCGTCGCCTAGAGTAGAGTTGCAAAGTCGAATCGAGTGTAGCAGACTACCGAAGTCAATCGTCTTCCGTAGATTGGCCGGCCCGAGGCAATGGGGTCGATGTTTTCTTTCTGGGAAAATTGCATCTGTACCCCCTTTGAAGAAGATGAGAATACCCGATATACCCCGTCCCCGTGCCCAATTTGCTGCTGTACCCGGGTAATTGTCTGTGCAATTATTGTCTACCACGCGGGGAACCCAGCCCTATAGCCAAAGCAATGAGAGAGAGAGAGAGAGAGTTTTGTTCCATTTATTGATATGAGTGAGAGAGAGAGACAGAGAGTGAGAGAGAGAAAGAAAGAGAGATAGACCGAGAGGGAGGGGGGGGAGGGCTTACAGAGAGAGAGAGAGAGAGAGAGAGAGAGAGAGAGAAAGTGAGAGAGAGAAAGAAAGAGGGATAGAGAGAGAGGCAGGGGGGGGGGGCTACCACAGAGAGAGGGAGGGAGAGAGAGAGAGAGAAAGAGAGAGAGAGAGGCTGAATGGCAAAATTGAAATATGGGTCAAACTGCAGCCGCGATCTATTTCACAGTTGGAATGTTTTTTTTAATTTATTTAGCATTTTTCCGGGAAAGATCACAACAAAATCTACGAGTACTCCAATTTTCAAGTTTTTTCATTCATTCTTTTGAGCGCGAAAACTCACTGAATTTGAAGTACTTTTTCAGTTGGCCCACACATGGCTGAGTGGCAAAAATGGAAAATGTGCTGAATCGGCGCAACGATTATTTCGCGGTCTTAAATTATTTTTTGAAAATGTTCTTACATTTCTCCTGCAAAAAACACGACCTCATCTATATATTCTCAAAATTTTATATTTTTCTGGAGATTCCTTCGAGCACAGGAAATCGTCAAAGTTACTTATTGCAAAACGTCTGTTTCGTTGCGCCTGACCTCCTTGTTTTTAGAAGACAAGCCTCAACACCTGAGCCCAAGGATCCTTTTGCAGTTCACATGCCCTCACTTCGTTTTGGGGTTCGTTTCCACCCGAGAAATGGTCCTTCCTTTCTCCAAAAGATCCAGTTCTACAAGAGATAGTTGTAGGTAGTCCGCAATATCTTGAAGGACCGGTCCCCAAAAAAAATTCCCCCCCCCTAAGAATCCACTTGCATCGTGGTCGCCCACCGCCAAAAATGCGACACCTTGACACAGAGGTCGAAGTTCACTATACCACAGAGGTCGAATTCATTGTCTACTGTGTGGGCATGGGGAACACAACCCTAATTTAGCCAAAGCAATAAGATTAAGTGCCCCCACGAGAGGGAAAAAAAAAAAAAGCGCCCCTGAAATAGAAAATAAATTATTCTTCAATTTTACATCGTTTACAGAAAAAGCAAAATTTGAAGAAAAAGAAAACAGTTCAAACAACAAACACATTCGCTTAAAAATCCTTGCAAGAATGCAAGGCAATCAAAGAACAAAAAAGAACACAACATTAACAAATGAAAATAACACATTAAAAATAAAACATAGAAAATTAAAAACAATTGCAAGAAGACAAACTTTGCAAAATTATAAAAATTATGAAACATTTACAAATATTAATTATGAAAAAATCAAAAAACAAATATTAGATATCTTACAATGAGAAATGAGTTGCGAAGGTTTACAAGAATTGCTTTGTTGTGTTTGTGATGAACTACGACTTAAGAATAAAATACATAAACATACAACTAAAGACCAAAATATAATTGACAAAATGATAAAATAAAATAAAAAAACAGTTGAAAATCTTCATAAAGACATAATATAATATTATGATTGTACTGAATTTAGTAAAAAATTAATTGACCTATTGCTTTCAAAAAGAGGATTTCAAATAAATGGAAAAAAAAACGAAATTGAATTTTATATTTGTGACAATTGTAAAAAAATCATTATTCGTTAGTAAAAATGGTGAAGGTAGTTTGCCAAAATTTGCAATCGCTAATCATTTTTTTACAGCAGAATTACCTAAATATATACCACAACCTACATGGTCAGAATTAGTTATGACAAAAACAATTAATATAATAGCACAAACAAGAGTTATACGAGGTGGTCTACACCGAGCTATTCGATCGCATTTACTGTTGTTTGATGCAATTCCAGGACCTCCTGCAACATTATTACCCAGAGAAATTAATACTGATAATTTTTATAGAATTATTTTAACTGGACCATTCACTGAACCACAACTTTTACAAATTAAAAAAATATATATATATTTGTCACTATGCTGTTCGACAACTATTAGAATTTTATAAATTAAACAATAAATATTATAAAAATATACCAATAGATGAAAACAAAATCAATGCTTTAGAAAAAAATAATGGAGAATGTATATCTTTAACAGTTCATAATCTTATAGAAGATAATACAAATTTAGTAGATAAAATAGACAACGAAGAACCCTCAATAGCAAAAACAATAGATTCAACATACGATGGAATTTATATAGAAAAAACACAATTGTTTACAAAAACAATCGCCTCAACAATAAACATGACAGCAAAAAAATAATTGATAACAAAGAACAAACGAATAATCAGTCTCAAACTTATGCCATTCAATCATCAAATAAACTTACTAATACATTTGATATCGATATTGATGCAAAAATGTTCCCTCACCTTTTCCCATATAGTCGAGGGCATATAGGAGATTCCAGTTTCAAAATCTGAATGTTTAAAACATTATTCTCTTTTAAGTCATCGAAATTTTGCAAAAGATTCTTACTTTATTTTAATTATGTTTGATAAATAAGTTATTCAACGTGATTTTACTGTGTCTCATATCACATGCACAACCAACCCACAAATACATGAACCTATAGCAAATATATCTCGAAAAAATTTAGAAATAGCTTTAGAAAATAAACAACGAAGATTATGTGGTCACCAACCCGTCTTAGTCAATGATGGTGCGCAAAAATTATTACATCATGTTGAATATGTTTCATCTTATGTTTGGGGCAGTAATGCAGAACGACGAATGCATCGTTAAGAAGCCTTTGCAACATGGGATAAATTTGGTCAACCAACAATTTTTTTAACATTAACTCCTAATACTGAAACAACTTTCATAATGACCTCATATATAAGACTAACAAAAATTAATAATTTATTCAATAATTTACAAAATGAACAATATATACCTATATCACAAATAAAAAAAGCAGGACTTCAAGATAATGTAGCTTCTGCACGATTATTTGATAGATTAATTACGATATTTTTTAAACACGTCGTAGGATATGATAATACAATACAACCATCGACCATAAAACCTCGATTATTTGGATATATTGATGCTTACTACGGAATGGTCGAAACACAAGGACGTGGTACCTTACATTTGCATTGTCTTCTTTGGGTAAAAGGTGCACCAACAACAACTGCAGACTATGAAAAATATATCAAGGATGAAAATGCATTAACCCAAATATTTAACTATACAGACAATATAGTTAAAACAAATTTACCATTTGATACAAATACTTTATCATGCCCCAAATGTAATAATGTAGCAAGTTTTCAACCAATTGACATGCCACTATTTACATTTAAAACTCCTTTTCGAAAAAATCAAACAAATTATACTCCAACAGAACCAACAATAGCAAAATATAAATATTGTGACAAAAAAATAAGTGCACAATACATAGCTCGTTCAGCATTGCTTCAAACATCTAAACATAAAACTCCTAACATATATCAAGAAAAAATTTCACGAAAGCTTTTTATATCCACCCTATAAATGACCCTATTTTTAAACATGAACCATATCAATTACTATTAAATATACCAAACATTTTACAACAACTGAGTAATGATGAAAATTACCTTAAACATAATAAAATTGCACTAATTCTTTTAACTCAAACACATCATTGGGCACATACTTCTTCATGTTTAAAAAAATCACGCACTACTGATAATTAAAAAACTTGTCGATATTTACATCATCGCACACGCATAGGAAAAACATGAATGAAAAATGATGGAATACATATATGTCGACCATTTGGACATGAATATATCAATGACTTCAATTATATTATACTATCTACATTCAAAGCAAATCATGACATTCAAATTTTAATAGGAGGACAAGAAAATGATGAAAGAGTATTCTATATAACTAGTTACACAGCAAAAAATCAACATCAAGTTGATTCAAATACAGCTCTCGCTCTTGCTGCATTTGATGCTCGAACACAACGAGAAAATGAACAACAAAAAAACGAACCACTAACAAACGAAACAAAAATAAGAAAACGAATTTCATCACAAGTTTACACATTAAGAAATAAACAAGAAATTGTTGCACCACTTTGTGCACTGTATATTTTACGACATAGTTGTGCATACAAAAGTCATTCATTTAAAAAACTACCTATTAAACAAATGTTAAAACAATTAAAGAAAGGAACAGAAATCATTTGCAAAATTAAAAAAGAAAAGAACTCATATGTTATAAGTCGTCCACTTGATGATTATATATATAGATCGACAAAATTATCAAATCTTTGTTTATATGAATTTTCAATGCTACATTTTTGTTCCGACCGAACAACGACTACAACAAAAGAACGCTTATTTTTAAAACAACATTCTCAATATGAAAAAAAAATGTATAGGACAACATAAATATTTATA